ATTCCATTTCAGTGGTCAGACTGTGTCAGAAAATCATTTTGCTTCAGTCTCAGAGCATTTTTGGCATTAGATTTGCAGAAAGTTTTTTCGTCTAAGACAGATGCTGAACGTTATCATTCTTGCGGAGACAAAAGAAAAGAAAAGCAATAAAGAAATTTTCCACTGTCAAAAACAGAAGTGTATTCAAATAATCAGTTGTGTTTAAAATGTACGTGCTAGTGACATGAACTCTTCTTTTTCTTCGGAAATGTCTTAGTCAAGCCCTTAGTCCAACATAAAGATGTTGATCTAAATAGATACTTTAATAAAGAACCAAAAAATATTCAATGCAAATCAAAATAAATCAATGCCACCATTTGATGGAAGCTATTTAGCTTTGGAAAAAAATATAGTCATATTTTTCTTAGGGAAGTTTAAGCATGAAGCGGATACAGCAGATAAAGTTAATGTGCACAAAAATGTAAGATTAGAAATATTTAGAAAAAGATGCATTGAACAGTTAGCAACCCTTACATTCTGTTGATCTAATAGTTAAGTAGATGAATGCAGAGCTACCAATTAAGACCTCAGTTTTCTAGGCCAGAGTGCCAGCCTTTTCACTAGATCAGCACCTTTGCCAGCTGATCCACTGAATCAGATACATTAGCTGCAAAACAATTCAGCTCCATGTTTCTACTAAAGTGTCCCTTGGAAAGAACTGAGGATGCAATTCTGGAACAGAGGGTAATGGGAATTTAAAAAAATAAGAGAACACAAGGTTAGCAGACTAGTTTAAGCCAGCTTCCCAGGCATTAAGCATACAAGTGCGGTAATAAAGGGACAAAAATAATGAAAATGAAAATCCACAGTCGTTTAGCTTTAATCAGCCTTCAATACTCTGCTGTTTCAGTCATGAAAAATATAAAATCATTTTTTTGAGTGGATCCAAAAAATCCTGTAATTTATAATTTGAGAAATGGTTATTTGGCAAAATGATTTATCTAGCCTTTCTTGAAACTCGTTTGCAAAATTGTGCCAGTAGGATCAAAAACCAATATCTAATCTCTCCTATTTGGGAAACAGCTATAATTCTCTATATTTCTTTATTGTGCTCAGTTACCGTTAAGAAAGCCATTAATGCCTCACGTAATTATAATCAGTCACAAAATAAATGACATCCTGCTGCTAAATAAACAAACATACCATAAATTCTTGATAGCCACATTAGTTGGCCAGTGACCTATCCTTGATAATCTGCACATGGCTTTGCCAAAGTCCTCATAAAGACAAATACACTTGAAGACAGTGCCCAAAAGGATACCATCCCTTTGAAAACTGGCAAATTTTACATCACTGATTGCTGTAGCTGTTCAAGGGCATTCAGAAATAAAATGACTCCAACTGCAAGTATAGATAAGACTGCTGCCAGGCTGCTCATTACAGAATATATTGTGAACATAAGGTAAACCAATATATTAATTGCTATCAGCAGATTCAACAACAAATACATTTAGATTCTCATATGCATCTTTAATACATTCATATATCTCACACTGATACTGACTCCACAGAAATACTTCATTTCTTCCTGCTATTTCAGCACTCACTTTGAAACCTGCAAGTCCAAAGTAGCAGAATTTTCAACTTTTCTACAGTCTAAGATCAGAACAACTAAAGTGTGGGTGCCTTTCTCCAGCTGTGTGACTCAAAGTGAAGAGCCTCAGAACCTTATGGAGTCAATGAAGAGAGCTAGGCACCTCCAAATGGCCATCCAGACTGCCTAGGCACAGTTACGCAGAGCCAGCCAACACACAACATTGTGCACAAGGCTCTTCCTGAACATCCACTCCACCTCAGAGCTTAGGCATTCTGACTATTCAGGATGCAAAGGAGAGGCACATAATTGCCACCACAGGCAATGTATGAATGCTAAGTGGTTGGAACACTCCCCTGCAAAGTGGAAGACTTGGTCATAAGGACTCTTTAGCTAACGGGACTCAAACTCACATCTCTTATGTTCCATCCCTCCTAACAACCAGGCCACCCCCAACAACCCGGACAGGACGGGACAGCACAGGACTGGACCCAGGCAGCCTCTGCCTGTCCTGTCCCTTAGCTAGAGTTGCTCCTTGGTCACAGGTAAGTGCTGCAAAGTGCTGCAGCCTGCTGTGTCCCTTGCCCAGCTCTGAGATTCCCCGCAGGGCTGCTGGCCCTGCTCTCTGTGGCAGCAGGGCCAGCACCTGCTCCCTGCTCCTGCTCAACCCCAGCTCTGTCTATTTGTAGGCACTGGGGTGAAGCACCTCTGCCACATGGCTCCCCATCCCTGGCCATGCCCCTGTCCTGGGCGCTGCTGGCAGCTCTCCAGGGCTGGCATCACAGGGATAACCATGTGGGGGCCCAGAGAGCTGGTACACGGAGCATGTCCAGCACATCATCCCTGTCTAGCCCTGGCTGTGCCCACCCCAATCCCAAGTGTCCAGGCCCCCAGCTGGACCCGGGAGGAGGTACGCAACCTTGTGGCACTCTGGGGCAGGACTGACATCCAGAGGCAGTTTACACAGTGTGGGTGCTTGAATGCCCACATTTATGAGGCCATTTCTGCCAGGATATGTGCACAAGGCCACTCAAGGATGGCACTGCAGTGCTGTGTGAAGGCCAAGGTGTTGCAGACACCGTGGGTGGCCATGACCGACTTCAGTCATCAGTTCAGGCATGCCCGGAAGACCATGCCCTTCACACATGAGCTGACCTGCATTTTGGTGCCCCAGGAGACGGGCTGCACCCCAGCGAGTGCCACCAGCAGGGGAGGCCTGCCCTTGCCCACACCCTGCCCTGATGCCTCTGGAGGTACATCACCAGAGGAGGGGACCTCAGGCCTTCACCGCGCCCCCCCACCCCATCCCCCCTGGCTGCTGCACCCACTGGCAGCTCAGGGAGTCCTGCCCAGTGGCTGCCTCGCCTTCAGCCCAGATTCACACCGCACCATGAGGAATGGCCAGCCACACCACTACTGACCACCAGCTCCTCCCAGGTCTGCATGCTGCCGGCCATGAGCACTGGGCTCAGCCAGACACTATCACTAACAGGGAGCCCCATGCCAAGCCGCCAGCCTCAGTAGCCCCAGACATGTGGCAAGTCCTGCACTGAAGGAGGGTCCTCCCAGTCCCTGGCTCTGCCCCTGGCCCTAGCCCCTGCCCCTGCCCCCCTCTCCCCTGGCCCCAGGTTCCCCCCTACAGAGCGTGCAGAGAAGCAGGACACAATTCAAAACTTTGTTGAACAGCCTGTGTCCCTGAAGCTGGGTGGGCACAGGATTCTCATGCTGGGGAAGGTGTTGATACCAGCAGCGAAGTCTTCCTCAGCAGCGGGGGGCACATACGTGTAGCGCTGTGGCCGCCTGCGGCAGCTTGCTGCTGCCACACTCCCACCACTGACAGCACTGTTACTGCCTGCAGCAGCTCACTGTGCCCCCCCTGCCCCCCGCCCAGCCTCCGGGTGCATGTGGCATTCATGCAGTGGTGTTAGGTTTGACCTAGAAACCACTACACATAGCCCAAGCAAAAGTCTCTGTTCTGTAACTAATGCTCAATTGCAATGATAAGGAGAAGACAGTCTTAGATAAAGGAGGCTTGAAAACAAAAACAGAATTAGTGGAGTAGGGCAAAGAGCTGATTTAAATATTAAGATTCACACCCCTAGGTGGGGAGAAAGTATGCTAATGAAACATACATGTATGGAAATGAGATACATAGCTAAAACACAGGTATAGAGACATGCTCAGTAAAGAACTCCTTGCGTCACTCCCTTATAACCAATTAGCAAACAAGAATGCTTATGAAGGTCCAATACTCCTGTATAAAAGATGCTCATAGTTAAGACTCTATGTGCTTGTTACGTGAAATTATTCCGCTTGCACCTTGTATTGCTAGCAATAAATCTTTATACTTTCACCCCTGGTATCTTTATTGGCTTTTGCATACCGGGCACGATCCCAGATTTGAGCTGGGGCTCAACAGTGGGAGCACTGGGCCTGGCTGGAGGCCCTGGAGCAATGCCATGTGGAGCTGCCCCAGCAGCAACTAACCAGTCAGGGCTGGGCACTGGAGCCCATGTCCAGGCCCCCCCATGCCAGGCCTCCAGCCCTGGCCCCACAGGGCCCCTGGGTCCCACCCGCCTCCCCACAGCAAGTCTCCATCTGGGCCTTGGAGGAAGGTCTCCACTGCCTCCCGCCTTCCTGGGCTGCTGGGAAATGGAGTCCAGATGCTGGCTGGATCTGCCATTTTGTCCACCCCTTCCCTAACCACTAAGCTACTAAGATTAAAACATGGGAGTTTCTTCTGAAACTTGTGCTCAGGTACACATGTATCTTCCTGCTTATAAGCTATACACATATGATTACACATCAAGACTTCAGAATAACAAAAATACTTAAGTGCCAAAGTGCTTAACTGACGGTCTATGCAGCCAGAAGACTATTATTTAAGTGCACAGAGTGTGACAGAATTCTACCCTAAGTGTCTAGGGGTTGGCAAGCTATCACCTGTGGTGCTGGAGGCAGCAGATGGGTGCTTTCCAGTGTTGCATCGCATCTGGTTGATGCAGAAAAGCAGCTATGGTAGCATTTGGGTCCTAATACATTCTGCCTTGGACCCAAGATTAACGGTTGTTAACAACTATGGAGTGAAGAGATTAGCAGGAATCAAGTAGATAATAATGAGCCACAAAGTCAATTGATTCTGTTGGCTTTATTTGAGCAGAAATAAGGCTGTCCATACCAAGCAGTTGAGCCTGCTAAACATTGCCAACCATCAGATGAACATTTGTGAACAATAGTACAAAACTGTGTAAAGCTATAGCACCAAACAAAATGCACAACTTAAGTCTGGTATTCAGAAATTCCTATGGATGTATCATTAGGATATATAAATACTTTCATTATATATCTACATTATGCCTCAATAAACTTTCAGGAGAGTGTTACTCATAAACAATACAATGTCTTCTGTAGAAGACAATGGACTTACCTGCTTTCTCTCTGCTCAGTTTCTGAAAAAGCAGCTGTAAGAAAAAAAAAGTTGTTTTTTTTAGTTTACCAATAATATATTTTGCCAAATAGGTTTAGGATATAGAATTAACAACAATAAGAGTAGATTTTGAACATGGATACATCATTATAATCTTTTTTGGCCATTGGAACCCTGAACTCTTAAGAAAAGGCACTGGAAACAAAATACTTATTTTTTTTTAAACTTCTATTAGGGACCCGATTCATAAGTGTAACAGCCAACTGAGGGATTTAGCTAATATTAAAAAGTATTTGATCTTTCCGATTCAAATCTCCCATAGTAGCTGAAAAATATGAACATGGTGTTAAAGTCATGTTCAGATGCTCCTTTGGATCTGTCACTTCCCCCATGCAAGGATTTTATCTTCAAAATAAGTTAATGTCCTCATTTTGAAAGCCAGTGACTAAATATTATTTATCAGTCATCCTCCCCATATACAGAACTAGGTATTATGACAAACATAAAATCTCTCCAGGAAATGAACTTTGGAAACAAAATGAGTTTAATATAAAATGTGCAGTTTCATTTAATTTATGAGTTTCTGATTCTACTGGATGCCAGTGAGTTTATAGGTACAAACCACTCTGAGTTTGTAGGCGTATGGAGATATAGCTACTCTTATTTCTTGCTATCACACATCCTTTGATCCTGTCACATGATAGTCTCCATATGGACAACCATCTGCACTTAGACCTCAGAAGCTTTAAACTGCTCTATCATCATTCCTGTAACACACTTCCTCTTCAGCCTTGATGAGGATCATCCATGCAAAGATAACTTCAAATAAAAATTTCCTTGAAGCTTTTATATTATATGGTTTTAATGAGTTTTGGCGAGATATTGAGAATTTTCCCCTGTCAAATACAAGGGAGAACTGAGTTAGGAATTGGTCTTTATATTGCACCCTTTTTTGGTGAGGGAGCCTGAAGTTTCCATCTTTATTAAATACATGCATGTGTTTTCATAAATACAGCAAGTTAAATAAACAGTTAAATAATTTCTGTTATACCTTAAATAAAGTATAAATTTTGACAGTAGATCCTGTATTCAAGCACCCAGATCCAAAAGCACCATTAACTCCATCAGCTAGCCCTTCTAAGTTTTACTTGGTTAGAGAGGAAGGCACCAGTAGGTATATGGACACTCCAAACCATGGGCAACCAAGCAGGAGCTGATCTGTGGGGGATGGGGTTGAGGGTACAGTTGCACCCCACTTTAATTCCTGCTCCAGTGAAAGTTTAAAACAAACAGCCTGGCGTGGACAGCCTCATTTCTACTCAAACAGAACCGAAAGAGTCAATTGACTTTGACTCATTATTGTTAACAACCCTTAATCTTCCTTTAGTCAAGCTAGCCTTTCTTCTACCATTATCCTGTTATCTATTCCTGGTAATGTTCCTCTGCTCACCTCCAGCATCTCCAATAAAGGTATATTACTACCTAGGAACCTGTACTGGACAGTGTCATGCCAGGTCATGGGTGGCCAGGTGTGGGGGTCACCCAGTATCTGAAGAAGCAATCAAGATCCAAGGGGAGTGGGCAGAGTCCAAGTGTAGGGGAGCTGGGAGGCCAGAAGCCAGGAGGTCCATCTAAAGAACCAAGTCAGAGATGAAGAGGATCAGACAGAGCACAGGTTCACAAGGCCTAAAAGCAGGTTAAGCTGTTCTGTGGGGCCAGGGGCATGAGGGGTGATGGGATTTGGGGTTGTGGGGCTGAAATGGGATTAAGGGGGGGTGGGAGCAAGAAGGATTGTGGGTGAGAGGTGCTTAGGGGATATGACGGTTGTCGCAGAGTACCTGGGTACCCTGCTCCTAAAGAGGAGAAACTGCTAGGTAAAGAGCCCTAGCAGTAAGTAAAGAGCACAGCTGTTGGTTACCAGGAGCAACTGGAGCTCACAAGCGACCCACACCTGCCAGTGGTCAGCTGAATAAAAGGGGCAGGGCCTGGCTCCCTTATAAACCCCAGGGGCTGAGGCCAGAGGGCAGTTCCCTGCCAGCAGCCGGAGAGGAAGGAGCTTTCCCTGAGCAGAGCTGCGAGGAGAGGCCTGATCGCAGGTACAGCCCATGCCGGATAAAGGATGGCACACCCCTGGGGTGTTTGAGTAACGCAGTTTTAGCCAGGTGGCTTTAAGTTCTGTTATAGCCAAGGGGGCTTGTGTTTGTGTTGCTGTTTGTCACCGGTGGTTTGGGTGAGGCTATTAGGGGTTGGAGGAAGCCTCATAGGGGCCCACAGCAGTGTGAGGACCTCAGTGCCAGTGAGGGCACAGCATTCAGGGTGCACTGACCCCAGCCCCAGAAAGGGGGCAGTTGAGAGGCCCCAGAGAGAGAGGCATTGATGGGAAGCCCCAATGCAGGTGCAGTGAGCCCCAGGAGAGGGGGCGGCATTGTGGAGAAGGCCCAGAGAAGAGGGCGCAATTGTGAGACAGGGCCGTGGAGAGCCCTAGCACCGGAGAGGGCACAGATCAAAAGAGGTAGGGGCCAGATTATAGCAGGGCTGAGACCTAACAACGTCTATTCCATCTACGAGGCTTGGGGTGTGGTACAGGGGTAGCTGGAGCCACGCATAGCCCATAAGGCTAGGGTGCCCCTGAAGCACCCATTGCAGGGCGGGACCCACAAGGGGTCTGTGAGTCCACGGGGTCAGATATTACAGCAAACCATGTCCAAGAGGACATAAGGCAGCCTCCCATATAGTTAATCTCCATCAAAGACGTGGCGGGCGAGAAGTGAGGGTGCCCTTTGGGCCAACTTGGCACGGGAAGGGGTCCTTGGGGAGATCACGACCATCCTGTAGGACCTCGCGCCATGACAACGGTATACAGTGAGGTTTAAATATTCAAGGGGACAGTGGATGGATCAGTGGGGTGCAAGGGGGTTGGGGGTATGCTGGACTTGGGGCACAATAGGATGGAGCTGAGCATGTGGATATGTGGGATAATAAATGACAGAGTGGAGCCAGGGGGCCACTTCAGGTAACAGAGCCAATGCCTAGAGGGCAGTGAGGGGCATGGTAGAGTGTCTAGGGCAGGGGTAGGCAAAATGCAGCTCATGGGCTGGATCTAGTCCTCCAGTTCACGGGCAGGCACCCATGAATTAATTGTATCTGGCTTGGCCTGTGACTGCCCCTGCTGCACTCTGCATGGGGCCAAGCCCCACCCACTTCCACTGTGGCAGAGCACTGTGTTCCCACAGCTTCCAGGTGGGGCTGCTGCTGCTGCAGCTGCCTCCGGAAATGCTTGGCTCCCCCAGCCTCCAGTGGCTCCTCCTCCTTTCACTGCTGCAGCACTCTGAGCAGCAGGTAGGGAAGTGACAATGGTAAGGTGCAACTGAGTGGGAGCCCAGAGCATGGTGCCAGGCCTGGCAGGAGTGTGGAACTCAGACACTGGAGCCAGGGTTGTCTGGTGTGCAGAGCCATGGGACCTGTGCTGGGCAGAAGCGTTGGCAGAAACGTGCAGAGTGGCAGGAGCACAGAGTCTGGGTTGGTAGAAGCATGCAGCCTGAGTTGGCGGGAGCATGGGGTCAGCCCGGTTTCACTGCGCAGGACTCTCAGCAGCTGATGTGCAACTCCTGGGACTTGGGGACAGGGGGGGCCTTGTGTGATGAAGCCAGCAGCCTTCCCCACTCCCTGCTGTCATGTGCAGCTCCTGGGCCTCAGTTGGGAGTGGCAGGGAGCCCCCGTGATGGAGCTAGGCCCCACTCCCTGCTGCCTTAGTGGGAGCCCAGAGCATGGTGCCAGAGCTGGTAGAAGTGTGTGGCTGTGAGAAGCACGTGGCATCAGGGAGCAGGACAAGGCTGGCCAGCAGGGAGCAGGACCAGGCACATGGCATCAGGGAACAGGACCAGGTGGGCCCAGCTTCATCATGCAGGTCTCCCTGCAGGTCATAAGTGCCCAGAGGGCCAATTGCCTGCTGCTGCCACCGGTGTTAGGGGCTGTGCGCCATGTGGGGGGCATGTGGGAAGGGGCCTGTGACAGGTCGCCCTCCCCAGCGCCATCTTCCAGATCATCTGTGCCTTACACGGGACACCCTTGGAGCCCTCTTGGACCTCTGCTGTCCTGCTCTAATCTCCCCTGCCACGTCTTGATGTTATTAGTGTGCGAGCGGGAGACTACCGATCCTATTGTGTATGTTGAGGGTCTCTCCTATAAGGTTCTGACCCCGTACCTAAGCCTCATGGGCTATGCATGGCTCCTACCACCCCAATACCACGCCCCAATTTCCTTGCAGATGGAATAGACGTTGTTCAGTCTCTTTCTGTCTCCCTCCTTCCACGCCCTTCTCTCGGGCCTTCCCTGTAGTGCCGCCCTTCTCTGGGGCTTTTCTACCATGCCGCCCTCTCTCAGGGCTTTTCTACCATGCCGCCCTCTCTCGGGGCTCCTCAATAATGCTGCCCCCCTTCTCCGGGGCTCACCACACTGCTGCCCCCTCCTCTGGGGCTCACCACGCCTGCACTGGGGCTTCTCCACAACGCCCCCTTCTCTGGGGCTTCTCAGCTGCCCCTCTTCTCCGGGGCTCACCGCACTGCTGCCCCCTTCTCCAGGGCTCACCATGGCCACACTGGGGCTTCTCCCCAATGCCCCCTTCTCTGGGGCTTCTCAGCTGCCCCTCTCTGGGGCTGGGGGTCTATACACCCTGAATACTGCACCCTCACCGGTGCTGGGGTCCCCACACTAGTGTGAGTCCCCTATGAGGCCTCCTCCATCCCGTGATAGCCTCACCCAAACCTCCGGTTATAAACAACATAACAAAACACAAGCCCCTAGGCTATAACATAACTTAAAGCCGCCTGGCTTATAGCCGTCATCCTTTACCTGGCTTGGGCTGTACCTGCGGTTCTCGCCTCATTGCTCGGGGAGCTCCTTCTTCTCTGGCTGCTGGCAGAGAACTGCTGCCTGGCCTCCTGCCTGTGGTTTTTA